CTTGCATTTCAGTGGTTCACAGGGTGGGGTTGGATCTCCGAGGGAGGGGCTGCTGCCTCTCTCCAGAGCCCTGGGTAGAAGCAATATGGCCACCATCCTGCATGGCTGCAGCTTAGCAAAAGCTCTGAGTGCCCTCCAAATCCCGAGTGTCCCCACACAGTTCCAGTCCAGTCTGCCCTCCCTCTGCCGGAGCCCAAGGTGAGTGGCTGTGGTTATTTTAGCCTCTGTCCCAGCTCTGCATTGTGGAGCCGCCTGGGAGTGTAACCCGAGGGCAGCTGCTCCCAGCTAAGGCCGCTGCCATGCTGCTGACCGTGGGCTCCTAGCCCCTGTCTCACGCCTTTGCAATCCTACCAGGATCGAGTCAGTGTCCCTGGTTATATGGTCCTCGCAGGCTGCTTTTCTGTTGCTTTTTCCCGTTGATTTGTCTGTGTTTTAGTTGTAATTCCAGTTTGGTCCTGGGAGACCGTCTGTGTAGCTTCCATTCACTCCACTGCCATTTTGGAATCCCTCTGTTTTTATACCTTTTTAACGCACATTTCTTGTGTTTACTTTTACAAATACGAGCTAAGAAATTAGCAAATATTTTTATTTTGCACCTTTTCAATCACAATCGTAATTTTTAAATCTTGCTTTATTCTTATCAGTATATCCAGGAGATATTTTCATGTTTGTGCATAGAAAGTTTCCTTGTTAATCTTTTTACAACTGCATAAAATTTTATTGTGGGATATATCGTGGATTAATAATCTCTTTGATGGATCCGTGGATATTTTGAGTCCTTTGCTATGCTGAACAGTGCTCTGATGAATTTATCTTGTACATATATTATTTTGTATATACATAGTTATATCTGTAGGGTAAATTTCCTCAGGGGAGTTCCTGGGTCAAAGAATAGATGTATTTGAAAATTTGAAAGTGATTGCAAATTGTTCTCCCTTGGGGTTATATGGTTTTGCAGAGTATACTAATGTCTGTCTCTCCATAAATTTTCCAACTAAGTGTGTTGTCAAACTTTTGAAAACTTGTCAATTAAAAATTTTTGTTTTTTAATTTAAGAGGTAAAAATAAAATCTCACTATAGTTTCAATGTATATTTCTCTTGCTATGAAGCTGAGCATATTTTTATGTTTAAGAGATGTTTGTATTTATTTTTAAACTATTTGGCATGTCCTCTGCTTACTTTTTCCTCTTGGCTTAACTTTTTATTCTTAATTATTAGGAGATATATATACCAGGTGGGACAAAAGTAGTTTTACAGTTATGGGTATGCAAAACACACAGTTTATTTTATATTATTATTTATTAATTATTGTATTATTTTTTCATGTATACAACTGTAAATCTACTTTTGCCTCACCATATACATATATATGGACCTATGTATATTAGGGTTTAGACCTTGTTTTTGATATGAACTACAATTTTTTCCCAAAGTATATTATGTTTCATTTGACTTGGTTATTGGTATGTTTTTTCTTCTCAAAGAGAAATTATTTTTACGTTGTCAAATTTATCAATTTCCTTTGAGATCTTAATTTAAAAGGCTATCCCCAACAGAAAATTTAAAACTATTTGCCTAGATTTATTCTACTTTTATATTTTCATAAACTTAAAAATGGATCTAATTTTTTCTGGTATGTTTAACTAATGGAGAAAGGGGTCCAGTAAATCACTGTGGCCATGGAGTCTATGGCCCAGGATTTAACACACTGACCAGGCAGCTGGGCTGCATTCTGTGTCCGCGGTATGTACTTTGCACTTCAGCCACTTAAAAATACTGTCCTTGGTCACAAAAGGAACAAGAAATTAGGGATTGTGCACCCTTACTATTGGAAAAACATCACAGGATATAGTCTCAACTGAGAGAGAAGCACAGCATCTTCTTTCCAAGCACAGCCAATATTTTGGGTGCGGTTTCTTTGAAAACCGCATTACCACTTTCTAGCCATGTAACTTTTTATAATTTTGGAGTCAATATATTGTATACAGTATATGAGGTGCATATCCTAGTATATCTTTTTCTAATGGCTTTCCTGTTATTTCCATCATCATTTATTAAAAAGTCCATCTTCAATCTAATTATTTGAGAGTGTTTTTCTTATTATTCTAAATTTCCATATGTTTTGGGGTCTGTTTCTGGACTTTCTCTTCAATCCTATTGTTTTGCCTATATATTCATATACCCATTTCACAGCCATCTACTTATTGAGGCTTTATATGTTTTTTTTTGTTGTTGTTTGTTTTAATTTTCACCTGAGGATATTTTTCCATTGATTTTTAGATAGAGGGAGGGAAAGAGAGAGAGAGAGAGAGAAATATCAATATGAGAGAGAAACATCAATATGAGAGAAACATCGATTGGTTGCCTCCCACACTACCCCAACCTGGGCCAAGGATTGAACCTGCAACTCAGATATGTGCCCTTGACCAGGAATCAAATCCTTGACCATTCAGACCGCAGGCTTAACCACTGAGCCACACTGGCCAGGGCAAGGCTTTTTATGTTTTAATAGCCAATATGGATAGTTATACTTACTACTCTTTTTTTTCCCCCAGAATTTTTCTGACAATACTTTTTTTTTCTGTATGAATTTTAAAATTAGGCACATTTAAAAATCAGTATTGGATTAGTTTTTTACTTAATTTTAGGAAAATTTACCTCTGCTTCTTAGAATCTCTGGTTGATCTTGAGAATTAGGTTGACATAAGACATTAACAGGAGAAAAGCATACAGATATAATGTTTACACGTACATGGGAGCCTTCACAGGAAATAAAGACCCCAAAAGAGGTTAGGCCTAAGTGGTCACATATTAGATTGAATGAAGAGCAGTAACTCTGGAAAAGTAATTAGAATATACGAGGAGGCTAAAAAAAGATAAGGGTTCTTTTTTATTTATTTTTATGTATGTATTTATTTATTTATTTATTTATTTTTTGCATTTATCCTCAGATAGAGCAAAACTTGTCTATCATGCTAGGAGTAACCAATTTTGGGGGTGGTTAGACCCCAGTATAGGAAAAAAAGGGGGCTTCTGGGATGCTGGTAATGTTCTGTTTATCTGGCAGACTATAGGAATGTGTTTATCTGGTGAAAATATATTGAGCTATGCATTCATGATTTATTCATTTTCTATATGCGTTTTATAGTTGAATAAAAGTTGTCCTGATGTCAAAAATTTTTGTTTCTTGTTCTGAGCAACAGTAAACTTACATTATATTCTCTCCTCCTGTTCCCACCCTACTCTGTCTTTTCTACTAGTAAATTCATGTCATTTGTATTATTTTAGCATTTATATTTAACATTACTGTTAAATACTCATATATGTCTGTAACTTGATTGCACTCACAACTCATCCAGATGAGGCAATGAGGGAGTGTGTTTTGTTTTCCATTCTCTCCTCATTCTCCTGTTATTTGTTAGTTATATTATTTCCACATTGTCAGAGCATTTGATGTTTATATTTCATTCAGTCACCCCACCTTTGATTTGTGCTCACTGTCAGTTGTGTTTTTGCTTTTGCTGAAATTTTCCATGTTATAGCATAGTTGGCTGTAGTTTGTCGTCTGTGATTTCCTAAAAGAAAGTGAGAATTACTAATTAAGTTCTTGCAGGTTCAATACTATCTGAGGCCTTAATATTTAAAGGTCACATGGCTGGATATCAAGTCCTTGGCTCACACTTTCTTTTCTTGACTATCTTATAAATGTTGCTGCATATCCTGTTTTAGTGGATGTAGAGAACTCTGACTCCTTCCTGGATTTCTTATTCTTGAAAGTGACTTGTCCTTTGTTGGGCTGTCCAAAAATATTATTCTTTATTTTTGAAATCTAAATCCTGCTCTTAGTTGTTTTGATTCAAACCATTTTGTTTAATTTTTTTTTTGCTGTGTAATATACAATTTTAAAATGTAGATTAAAGTATTAGTCTACTTTTGCAATGATCACTTGAAACACATTTAAAATAGCTATTTTGTTCTTTTTTGTGTTTCTTCTTCAGGTTCTCCAATTCAGTGTGTGTTGAATCTCCTTTGCTTGTTGTCATCTATATGTCATCTTACATTTTCCCCTCTAATTATGTTTGTTCATGTTATTGTTTCATTTTGTTTAATTTTTCATGTTTATTCAACTTCCCTTGTTGTGAGTAGCTGCTAAGAAGGAAAGTGAGAAGATTCAGCACTGTGGTGCTGTTGGAACATTGATGTGTTCCTATTGCAATAACCAGAAATAGTCCTTTTCACTTGTTTCCCTAGCTAGGTTAAAAACATTGTGTTTTAAAAAAATTTCAAAATAAAGTCATGCTTAATTCTCACTAATTTTATCTTATTAAAAGTCCCCTTTTCTAAAAAAAAAATTTTCTTTAAGTTATGATTAAATAAACTCTAAGGGCTCTTAAAGTTTTGAAGGTAGCATATATGTTAGTGTTCAATTATATTATAAGTTATTCCTTGATAATAATACAATTTGAAATCATACTAACAATCTTTTTTTTTTTTTTTTTTTTTTTCTGTTGCCATAATACGTAGAGGGCAGAAAACTTAGAAATTGTCAAGAGCATAGAAATGGGGGCTGTGAACAGAGAGCTTATGGTGTACAGGAGAGGGAAGCATCTGGAAATCAAAAGGAAACTAAACCAGGAGTGTTTGGAGCCAGTAATCTAGCTGGTATTCTCGTGCAAGCTGCATACCACACTGAAATGAGTTTTTTTTGTTTTTGTTTTTGCCCTATATTGTCCTGCTTGAACTCTGGATGAACTCCATGACTGACATCTAGTTCATGCTCCATAATAAATTACAGAATAAAAGAATATGTGAACAAACACATCTCATTTCAGTGGTGAAATTTTACTGAATGGAGTGCTCAGTGAGAAGTGTTATCTGAGAAAACATCATTTCTTCATTTTTAATATTGAGTAACAATTCTACTCATTCAGATGCTTTTATGTAATTTAATTTAGGGTAGGGACAATGCCATTAACATTTTTTATCTTATTTCATTCAGATATGTCTTAGTTGGTCCAACCACTAGTTATTGTGAGATCCAAGATAGAACAGTTGGCTGGAGTGATTCTTTCCCAAAATGTGTAAGTAAGTAAAGACTTTTTCTGATTTGACTATAACCTTCTACTATGATAGGTGATAAAACTCCTGTGCATGTGTGCTGCTTTTTGAACCCTCCATGAGAATTTGCATCATGCATATGAGATCTGGAAAGATACCTTCCCTAATTATTTCTTCCTCTTCACTTACTCACCCCAGTTGCCCACTGTGAGACCCCTCCAGACATCAGCAATGGAAGGCACAATGCTGGAAATGAAGATGTCTACACGTATGGCTTTTCTGTCACCTATAGCTGTGACCCTGGCTTTTCACTGTTAGGTAAACCTTCCATTTCCTGCACAGTGGAGAACAAAACAAAAGGTGTCTGGAGCCCCAGCCCTCCTACTTGTAAAAGTAAGTTGCAGTTGAATTGTTGAATTCTCCTTTGAATTTTTTTCTTGAAAGGAGCAAGGAAGATACATTTACAGGGGGAATGAAATGATTCATTTAATCATGATTGCAATGATGAAAGTCATTTATTTGGTCATCCAAGACTGATGTATGCTGTACCATTATAGTAACAAACAGCACCGATATCTCATTGGCTTTTTGAAGTAGAAGTTGAATCTCATGCGTACCGAGTCTAAGGCATGTCCGAGAGACTCTCTGGGTGTTAGTTAGCAACCAGCTCATCATTCCAGGTTGATCTGTGGCACCTCCAAATCAAAAGGCACTTTTACAATGTCTTCAGTAGAGGAAGAGAGAAAAGCAAATTGTGCTCTGGCTTTTAAGAGCTTTGACCTGGAAGTAACCACATATCACTTTACATTGCAGTCCTTAGTCCAAAACTAGTACTGTGTAGGCCCTACCTACCCTAAAGGAATTTGAGAATGTCATCCCTTGTCTGATCAAGAATCTGAGCTAGAAATTTTGGTTAGCACTTATAATGTCAACCACCTATCCCTACAGGGCAAGCTAAACCTACTAACGGTCAGCAGGACAAAGCAAGCAGTAATTGAGCTGAAAGATATATTGTGGTGTTGTTAGTTTGCTCATCTTTCTTACCTCCTCAGTGCCTACACAGTATCACTTAACTATTCTGACTCCCCACAGGACACAATCAAATCACGGGATGAGAGAGCATGATATTGCAAACAGTTCAAAATGCCTGGAGTCTAGACTGCAGGAGGTGGGAATGACAGATACTGAAGCTGGAAAGTTATCAGGGTCAGGCTGTGAAGGGCCTTGTGTGTTTCTCTCAGGCGTTTGGTACAAAGGTGATAGACATTGAAAGGCTTTAACCAGAAGATTTAATGTGTTGCATTTTACAAAGATAACTGGCAGCAGAATGGCTGACAGTTTGAAGTAGGATGACCTTTAACCCATAGGCACCATCCAGCCAAGAAGTGAAAATGGCTCCCACTGTAGCCATGGCAGTGGGCCTGGAAAGAAGTTGAGGGTTTGTAGAGGAAATAAGGTGGTAAGACTTGACTGACGGCTGGAGCGGGGGTAGTTTGTTCTTCACCTGTGAGGGTGCAATCGCTGATGCCTCGGCTGCTGCATCATCATGAACATCATATAATTACCACTGGCCGCTGACCCAACACCAAAATCATCCAAGAAAGTAGGTCATTATAAGGGGAAGATTTAAGACTTTGAGATAGGTGTTTCTTCTGGGTTATATATAGCCAGTTTTTCTTGAGAAGTATGAGGACATTGGAGTTATCCAGAGACCTCATTTTACTGAGTGTGTGTGTGTGTGTGTGTGTGTGTGTGTGTGTGTATAATACTTTTAAACATGTTTTCCTTGTATCTACTTGACATGTGCTATATCAGGCTTTTGCATTATACTTGAAATTGGCAATAGCGGTAATAGCCTTATTTTCTCTTTTACAATCCACTCCTCTTTTCTTATGATTTTTTAGAGGTCACCTGTCCTCAGCCAAATATTAACTATGGAAGGATAGCCACTGGATTCAGACCCACCTATATTTACAGAGACACTGTTTCATTTGAGTGCAATAAAGGTTTTACCCTCAAAGGCAGCAGTGTAGTCCATTGTGACGCTGATGACAACTGGAATCCCCCTCTTCCCATCTGTGAGATAAGTAAGTATGAGCCATATAGGAATTTCAATGTTTGGCATCTAAAGATACCCAGAAATGTTGCTGAGGGCATAGTCATATGCCTAAGCCTACTTGAATCACAGTAAAAATTTAAATTTAGATTGGTGATTTTCTTTCTTATTTATCTATTTATTTATTTTTGTTGGAAGAAACAAAATTACAGTACACTGATTACAGTACACTGTGCAGGGTCATCCAGGTCACAAAAGGCTGCCACAGGTAGCTGGGCAGATGCACATTCTAAGGGCAGACATTAGCACTGTAGACATTGTGCGTCAGTATATTGATTTCAACCATTTTCTTGCAGTTAATAGAAAATTCTTTTGTTCTGACAAAATAATTGTATTTTGATTATTGTTTTGAAAGGTCAATAAAGTGTCCTGAGTGGGGAAAAATGCCTTTTTCAAACTTACACAAAAGTACTGTATAGACTGACTATGATTCCGACATTCTGAAATTATAAACTCATGTGGATCGTGAAAAATAACAAATACCATATGATCTTACTTATATGTGGAATCGAAAGAAGAAAACAAAACAAACAAACAAAATAGAAATGGACTCATGGATACAGAGAACAGACTAATGGTTGCCAGAGGGGATGGGAGGTGGGACTGGGTGAAAAAGTGAAGGGACTAAGAAGTACAAATTGGTAGTCACAGAATAGTCACAGGGATGCAAAGTATAGCACAGGGAATATAGTGAGTAATATTGTAATAACTATGTATGGGGCCAGGTGGGTACTTGAAATATCAGGGTACCACTTTGTCAAGTATATGATTGTCTAACCACTATGCTGTACACTTGAACCTAATAAGGAATTATATTGACTGTAAACTGTGATTGACAAATAAAACAATAATGTAGATAGTAATAATGATAATTTGGCCCTAGTCTAGGTATATAACAAGAATTTGCTCAATGAATCCTCCCAAGAATTGTGGACACTATTATAGAAGAGGAATCTCTTTATCAAAGTTAAGTGACTTGCTCAAAGTCATACAACTAGAAATGAGAGGAAGCCACTTATGCCTTGTGCTCTTACTTGTATCCTCATTCAATGTCAAGAACCTTGCCCTGAGGACTTCTGGAATAGTGGTGTAAAGAGCTTGGGAAAATCTCTCTTCAGTCTATTAAGTGGTCATAATTAACAATGACAGCCATTTAAGGTCTCTGGAGATTGATAAAAGGAGTTACTGTAAATTAATAAGCATTTATCTAGCAAAATGTATGGAGACTTAGAACAAACAGTGGGAGGGCATTACATTAGAGCAAAGGTGTATCCCCATGTCCCCAATAGTCTTGTGGGAGGACTATTTTCAGTGGGCTCATGAGTGGCAATTTCCATCTTCCCCAACTTGCTGGGGTGGAATAGCTATTTAGAATGGATTTGGCTTCCAGTGAACATCTTGTGATGGCATTGTCCAGAGCTCCATGCTTCAGGTGGCAGCAGCCAGACATTAGCATCTCTTCCTCCACCCTGACCTTCATTGTGTAGAGAGAATCCAAGTTGAGCATCTGGTGACAAATTCAGATGCCCTCTCCTGCCTTTCAGGAGAGCTGCTCCAGTGGATTTGGCAGCTAAGAGCCACCTCCCATCTTTCCCAGCTTCCTAGAGTAGAATGATTATTATGGGAAGAATTGACAGCCAGTGAACACTGGCAGATCTCATTCTCCCTGGCTCTAGGCTGTGGAATAGCTATGTTTGTTGATGGGCACAGTCTAGTGACAGTACCAGTTCTTACTTCCCCTCCTTCCTGCCCACAGTTCCTACACCATAGGAAAGACTGTGGTGGGGCAGCTGGTAAAGAACAATTCTCCCATGTGTTTTCATCTCCTGATCCATAGCACAAGGGTTCTGCCATAGAAGATTTGTAGCCAGCCTCAAAGTCTATCAATGCCCTCCCTGCCCCAGCTGAGGAATTTGACTTTAATTGGATCTGACTGCAAAACAATTTATGCCCCCAGGGAGTTGTCAAAAACAACAGAGCAATCAGCTAATAATTCGTGAAGGTTAACAGCTGTATGTAATACTGATAAAGGCAGACCAGCAAAAAGCTTAGTAGGAAAGAGACAAAGAAAAACCAGTCATCACTGCTAGTAGGTTGTGCTCTCTTGGGAGCACCATTATACATTACATGATTTGGGGGAAATAAACTTAAATGCACTTGTACAGTCAAGTCAGTAAGCAAATAAGGAGACAATAGCAATAACAACAGGTCCTGAGGTGGGGGAGGGGAATCAATATCCTAAGTTGCTACAGCATATTATCTAACATATGCAGTTTTCAACAACAACAACAAAACGACCAGAAATGCAAAGAAACAGGAAAGAGTGACCCACACCACACACACACACACACACACACACACACACACACACACACAAGATGATGCAAAATGCCTTTAGGGGGCCCACATGTTGGACTTAGCAGAAAAGAAGTTCAAAGGAGTTATTATAAGTATGTTCAAAGATTCACATGACCAACTGGTGTTACTTGCTTTCACCATGAAGAAGTTCCTTTAGTATCTCTTGTAAAGTGGTCTTCTGGCAACAGTAAGATACCTCTTTACCCCCATCAGCATGGCTATAATAATAAAGATAAACGATAACAAATGTTGGTGAGGATGTGAATAAGTTGGAAGCCTCATATCCTGCTGGTGGGAATGTAAAATGGTGCAGCCATTTTGGAATAGAGTTTTCACAGTTCCTCAGAAGTTTAAGTTACTCTATGACCCGACAATTGCCCTCTTAGGTAAATACCTGAGGAATAAAAACAGATGTCCACACACAAACATATTATGTTGACAGCAATGTTGTTTATAATAGCCAAACACCCAAATGCCTGTCAACTAAAAAATGGATAAACCGAAAGTGCCACATGCATATAGTGAAATATCATTTGGCAATTGAAATGAATGAAGTACTGATATATGCTGCAACATAGAGGAAACTGGAAAACAGTATGCTAAGTGAAAGAAACCAGTTACCAAAAAACTCCACACATTATATAATTCCACGTATTTGAAAAGTCCAGAATGGGTAAATCCATATATAGAGGAAGTATATTTGTGACTCCCAGAGCTTGGGGTGGGATGAGAATAGAGAGTGACTACTAATGAGTACAGAGTTCCTTTGGGGGTTGATAAAAATATCCTAAAATTGGATAGGGATGATGGCTGCACAACTCTGTGAACACACTTAAACCCATTAGATTGTATATTTTAAATGGGTGAGAATTTTATGTTATATGGCTTGTATCTCAATAAAAGTGTTAGAAAAGAACCTTACCCTGTATACCATTTAAAATGTCTGGAGATAAAATGTAATAAACATTCAACTTGGCAGATATTTGATTATATTCCCAGTCGTATTAGGGAAGATAAAGAGGACAAGACACAAGGTCCAGACTCAGAAGATGCTTGGAGTATTTTTGTTCTTGATCAGCCCTTTAATGAATAAGTGTCTAGTGTCATCTGGATGAGGGGAATGACTTGTCTATTTTTCCCAGTCAGTCAGGAAATAAGAAACTTGAATTTATCTGGCAGTTTTCTGGCCACATCTACCTAGTAAGCCTAATGCTTTGATTCAGAGACTCAACTTTCTGAAGTACAATGAGGAGGAAAGAGAATTACCATTTTGGATAGTTGGCATGACACACAAACCATTTGGTAATAATTTTAGTAAGAACCTCTCTGGTGTTGCGCACAGGTCTATTTGGGCACATGTCTATGTGTGTTTTTTAGGGTGGCTGATTTATCAGCCATGGCAGGCTGGTTAATGGCTAAATGAACACATCACACTCTTTGACAGGACTAGCTCATTGATCATGTTGCATCCCTAGTAACAGTGTCCTTTATCCTTGTTCTTTTATGAGCAGATAGTTGTCGTGGTTTACCAGTTATCCCACATGCTTCCTGGGAAAGATATGGCTATCAAATCCCAACAAAAGACAAACTATATGAAGCTGGGACCTCGTTGAAGTACCGTTGTCATTCGGGCTATAAACCTGCTGGAGATAAGCCTACGACTGTGAGTTGTCAGAAAAATTTGCAGTGGAGCCCATACGCAGAATGTGAGGGTGAGTTTCTGTTTTTAAAATATTTTAGTAAATTAAATGTCTAGTGTATTCTAGGATTTTCTACCTTAAATGAATATAATTGTATTCCTCAAGATAAATTTATAATTATATTAATTCAACAGAATGACTATTATTGCCAGAAGAGACCATAAAGGGCTGGGTCTTTGAGGGGTTGAGAAATTATAACCTTCCTAATCCCAGTTCAGAAGTCAAACATCATGCTGATTAGTATTAGCTTCATTACTGATAATGGTAGAAGGAGAATACAGTTTAACTATTGCCAGAGTCAGAGTCAGATACCCATTAGCCCTTTAAATCCTATTGCAGAATTCGGGGTGCTTGGTACGAGGAAGTCTGTGAAAGAGTCACAAACTCAATCAGCTGCAAGGTGACTTGTGTGTCATGTCTCTTGAGCATGGGACTGAAAGAACTGGGCCCTGTGACTGTCCGTAGCAGACAGACCGTGACCCAGTATTCTTGCCTCAGTAGGATAGAAAGGAGACTTTCTCCTGTCTCATTAGTAGAAGGCATTCCTTCATTTTCTGAGATGAGCGAGGGGCTGGAACACACGTAGAAGCAATTTTATGGGTCTCAGTGGAATTGACAGCAGAGGGAGAAAATATTTCCTTCAGCGTATCTATCAGAACCTTGCCATGACAGGAAACTTTATTCTACAAAATGGAATTTGAAAAATGTGAAATACATAAATAGTGAAAACTGGGAGCTTAGGTCAACCTATTGAAAAATTATTCATTTTGTATTGGGACTTATAGTTTAATTGTAATTATTCAGACTCATTGTGGGGAAATAGAATAAAAGGTTTTAATAAAATTACTGAATTAAAAATATATTTAACAAAAATTATTGCCACCACTTAAACAGCAAAGTATTGATTTATATAAGCCTTTGAGGACCTTCTTTAAAGAATGAAAAATAACATGTAATAAAGATATTTATTTTTTAATATAAGTGAATGTTTATACATGTTTAAGAAACTACTTTTAAATAATATCTTATCAATTTAATTATAGTTTAGTTACAATTTTGATATGGTTGTGGGAGGAGGCAAGTACCACATTTACCTATGCCACCATCTGGACCGGAAACTGATATAAACTTTGAGAACATTCTTTCTTCTGTAATTGGGGAAGTATAAGTTATTTGAAAGCTTATTAATTATGTAACCCTACTGCAACCATAAGGGGATAAATGTCATTTGTCATTGCTCTTGAATAATTTTGAAAATTTACATTTTCTTCTAGGTTTGCTCTTGTCTTGAAGGCTCCTTAATCAAATTATTTAATTGGAGGGAAATGACTGGGTTGAATTACTTTAGCAAATCACATATCTCCTCCCCAATTTCTCTTCTGTGGTGAGCTCTTCCCAAGGTGGAAAGGAGATTATTAGCCTTAGGAGCCTCCTCATAGCGACTTTACTAACTATTAACCTCACTTTTTATTTTTTAGAGTTATGTTGCCCAATACCAGAGCTGAAGAATGGCAAAATCACTGAAAATAGAACACGTGGTTTGCCCAGTAACTGTGTCTATTTCTTTGGAGACGTAATTAAATATTCATGTTATGGGAGACGTCACTCTGAAGCTTCCTGCCAAGGAGATGGGACCTGGAGTCCTGAAACACCAACATGTGGAGAGAGTAAGAGCTTATGAAATTATGCTATTTTAGAAGTTTCTTCATATCAAAGTAATGGATATTATTAAGGGAAGGTTTCCAATTAGGTAAAAAGAATTTGTTTCCTCTGCATGATGCTTGGAGTGGATAAATTTGTTCAACAGCACTGTTTCCAGCCCAAATCTCTCTCTTTGTTCACCCAATGGTTCCCATTTTCTTGACCTTCCTGGTTTCCTTTTCTGAATCAGTGAAATTAGGCCACATCTAATAGATCAGTCAGACTTTTGAATTATTGCATTCTGTTTCTTGGTATTTATTCTCTTCTCCTTTTTTCTTTCTGGTCCATATGCTAACATGCAGAACAAGACTCACTAATATGTTTGAATCTGCTTTTCCAAACTTACTTCCTTTCTCCTGATGCTTCTAAGCCCTTCTTCAGACTCTCACCAAGAGCACTTAAGTGCTAAACACAATCCTTCCTTCTCCCATTGTTTTTCCATAACCCTAGTGATGATCAAAAACATTACTTCTACCTGAATAGTGATTCCTTTTCTTGCCTTGTGAAAAGGAGCCCAAAGGAGCATCAAAGTGAGCAGGCATCAGTTGCAGTTTAAAAATCAGTGGGAACCTTATCTTCCCTTATTGAAGTGTTTCTACTTTGCCTACCAGGGATTTTCTATCTGCAGATGACAGAGTTCAGGGATTAGAAGCACATTTTACCCAAATGTTCACTTAGAATGAATATAAGTAGGACTACTCATGCTTATGGCTTTTGGTTTCTGGGCTCATGGACTTCATTTTTTTTTCCTTGTTGGGGACCCAGTACCGTATAAAGGTCGATCTTTGATTAAAGTGAATACTGTGTTCTCAAAGATATTGTAAGTAATATTGTAAAGACTCATTATTGTAAAGTATTGTCTCTCAACTGACACTTCAGGTAAGCCTTTAACAGGCTGTCCCAATGTTCTAATAGGTCTGCAGGTTCTGGGTGACACAGTCTATAATATAAGTAGTGCATTTCATGGTCATGTCCCAATACCACACCTCTTCTGCTATGAGTGACATGTAGTGGGATCCTATGCCAGTTGTTTAAACACTCTGTGTAATCCTTCAGATAACAGTGCTGACTGAAGTCCTGCCGGCAGGAAAGGCAAACCCATATCTTATTCCAGGTATGGGTTGTCTATTTTTGTGAGAATAAAGAGCTGTCCCTAGGTGGAAGGGGATCCATTATAGTAATCTTACTACCAAGTGACTTTTTGGTTGTCTCACGGGATGGTGTCATATCAGGGATTTATCATTGTTGCTGACAGGTTGGGTATTCAGTGACAGCAATGGCTAGTCACCTTGATAAATAGGAGTTGATGTTGGGATGATGCTTGTCCTTCATCCATACCACATGGCCACTTTATCCTTTTCCTCTTGTGACAGCTCTGCTGAGGCCAATGACAGAGGATGGAGGACTTCAACTGGCTGAGACATTGTTTTTACTCGGTTGTTTAATGCCTCTTCAATTGGGTGTACTTGGCTGGTGTTAACAGGCAAAATAAAAACTTGACACTTACGGGCCACTCCCACATGCCCAGTCACCTGCTTCTACCCCAGATCTCCTTGTGCTCACTCTTTCAACCTTTGTCCTTAAGTGCTCTAACAGATGAACCATTCATTCTAGGCCACAAACCCCAAGACTAAGCAACATGCCAGAAATTATATTTCAATAAATATATAATTCTCTGCTGCAGCGCATGGCCTTGCTTCAGGATTTCGAAGGTCTATGGCAGTGGTTCTCAACCTTCCTAATGCCACGACCTTTTAATACAGTTTCTCATGTTGTGGTGACCCCAACCATAAAATTATGTTTGTGACTTCTTCATAACTGTAATTTTGCTATTGTTATGTCTTAGGTGACCCCTGTGAAAGGGTCATTCTACCCCCAAAGGGGTTGCGACCCACAGGTTGAGAACCACTGGTCTATGGTGTGAATGTCCCATTGACATTTGAATCTGTTCCTACCATAGCCACTTCATTACACTACATTCTGCAGGGTCCTAGGGCCAAGCAATAGAGATAATTTGATTGCTGACTGAACTTGCTACAGAACCCTCTCCTAACTTGTGCTCCATTTATACCTGACCATCTTTTGTGTCACCTAGCATATGGGTTAGAATAGTATTCCCAAGTGTGGAATATGCTGCCTCTATAATCTGAAAAGGCCTTTTAGAGATTGTGATTCTTTCTTTGTGGTGGGATGTGCAATTTAGAATAATTTGACCTTAGTGTAGTTGTGATAGCCTAGCATGCCCTGAAACCTGGACCTCTAACAAGTTTACTGATGTGGCAAACTTCTGAATTATTACCTTCTGTACTCTGGAACATCATCATGTAAATTGTAAAAACCCAGTCTTTGTCATCTTGTACTTCTCCTGTGTCTCCTTTACTACTCACACATAACACTGACAGTAATTCTGGTCACCAAATATGTGGGTAGTTTTCCCCACATCACACAATTCTCAAGACACCAACTGGGTGTCCTTCAATTTACTCAGTCATGACACTATCTACCTGGAGATAGCATCATATCACACAGGTTAAGGGCTCACACAAGACTGGTCCCACCCCACTTCAGATGCCAGCCACAAGTAGTAGGTCCCCATATTACCCCCAACTTGGCTACAAATGAGAGGTTCCGTTGACCCCTTTCTTGTGTTTGATTAACTTGCTAAGTGGCTCACAGACCTCAAGGAAATACTTACGTTTACCCGTTTATTAAAGGATATGATAAAGGATACTAATGAATAGCCAGATGAAGATACATAGAGCAAAGTCTGGGACAGTGCCAAGCATAGAGCCCCTGTGCCCATGGAGTTGGGGTGCTTTACCCTCCCAGTAGGTGGATATGTTCACCCACCTGGAAGCTCTTTAAACTCCCTACTAATAGGATTTATCCAGGACCCCACCCAGAGTGACCTCATTACAACAAAAGATGCTCCTAGTGTTCTTAAAATGTAGGAAATTGCAAGGGTTTTAGGAGTTCTGTGCCAGAAACTGAGGGCAGAAATAGTTTTGATGATCTCACATCATGCTAGCATCTTCTTGTTCATTCAGTAAAATTAACATTATGTCATTGATATACCGGATTAACATGAAATTCTGTGGATGTCCAGATGTTCATGAAAATTTCAGACTATCATGAGAGATGCAGGTGAGTTTTCATAGCCCAGGGCTAAAATTGAAAATGTATGATCTTGACCCTTCCATGTGTATGTGAGCTATTTCTGATCTTCTTTCCTGATAGGATGGGCAAGAAGGCCTTTGCTCAATCAGTGGCCTCATGTACCTGAAGACATATTAATTTGCTCTAAAAAAGATAACTGCGTATGATATACTAGCTCCAACAGGAGCTAAAATGCTGACTTTTCAATAGTCTACTGTAATCATTCAGAGTTCTGATTTTTGTAGTAGACAGAATGGGGAAATAAATGGATATATGAGGGGAATGACCACTTCTGCATCTTTAGTTCTTTAAGAGTGGCACTAATTCTTCCTTTTCTACTACATATATATTAATGTATTTCAAAGCAAATTTATTGGAGTGACATTGGTTAATATGATAAATATTTTAAATTTACTTTCTTTGCTTCAAGAAGGAGGGATCTAGGTTAGATCAATGGCTTCTACTTGGCCTTTTGGATATGATTGCTTTTAATCCTTCGTCAACAACCAATATGGATATTGGACCAATTACCAATTTTGTTTATTCAGATTATACTTTTGAAGATAATGGAAATGACCACCATGTGGTCTAGTAGGGTGCCATGATGGTTCTTCAGCCTGAGGCTTACAGGAGGGTAGTGCAGGTACTCGTGTTTGGCTAAGTGGTCCTGTGGGCAGAGAAGATGTCAAGACAGGACAAAGCCTTCTACAAGCCACACAGATTCTAGGATACATTGCTTTTTACATTCTATTAGCTCAAGCTCTCTCACTTCATGTCTTACCATCAAGGTTGCAGTTATCCTCCTTACATTGCTCACGGACGTCACCAACAAACTTCAACCTTTTTCGTAAATGAGATTAAATATGAATGTGACGAAGGATATGCTCTGGTTGGAAAGCCCACACTGTCCTGCAGTTATTCACGCTGGTCAGGTCCAGCCCCTCAATGTAAAGGTAACTCCAGCCCATGGCTAAGAGGGTGGAACTGTCATGAAGGGATTGAGAACAAAGTTTCTTTTCAGATAGACAGAGTACAAAAACATTTAATTTATTTATTTTAAATAAATACTACATTTAAATAGTACTGAGCCCTGGCCGGTTTGACTCAGAGGTGGGAGCGTCAGCCTGCCAAGCAGTGAGTCTCGAGTTTGGTTCTGGTCAAGGTCACGTACCTCAGTTGCAGTTTGTCCACAGTCCTGGTCGGGGTCATGCGGGGTACAACCAATCGGTTTGTCTCTCTCATATTGATGCTTTCTCTTTCTCCTGCTCTCTCCCTCCTTTCCCCCCACTCTATCTGAAGATAAATGGAAAAGTATCCTTGAGTGAGGATTAAAAGAAAAAAAAAGTACCCAATGTAAGAAAGTACAAGGGACATACAGAAAAAATTAATCTCCCCTTCTTTCTTCCAGTTACAAAATTTAGCCTCCTCCGACTTTCTTGTATTTTTCTGGAAATAGTCTACAGGTGTAACTGTGGCCTGTAGCAAAATTTTCATGGAACTTGCTCTGGTATGAATGTAGGCTCTCAGGGGCTAATTGCAAACACCAGGAAGTGACAGGTGTTTGCAGCAGAGCCCCATGCCCTGCAGGGCACCCCTGCCAACCATGGGGGCCTGTGGTGTGGGATTCCCAGTTTGCAACCTGTTGTGCGGACAGGAAGAGTTAAGATCAGGTCTGCATTTTACATGCACACAGGTTTAATATCACTTTGCCATCAACAACTCCAGGAATTATTTACCACCATTGTCTCCATTGCACATGGTAGGATAATAGGCAAGAGAAAAAATATCCTTAGTGTCTTGTAGGGATCACAATATGAGGGATAGTTGCTTTGACAGCTGAGAGTCTAGGCTCAAGTGCCTTTTTTTATGCCCGGTCATGGTATTTAACGTCTTGTTATGTCTTAAACTAGTTTCTTCATCTCTCTGTACCTCATTTTCTCCTAGATAAATGGGAATAATAACAGTGCTCACTTCATAGAGAGAAGTGAGACTGACATGAGGTAATCACATAAAATGCTTGGCTCTGAAGACTGTGTGAGCCGATGCTCACAGAACATGTGAGCTAATATGACTGCTATCAAGGGTTAAAAAGATACAATTAGCAGCACCCACATGTAGCTCATCTGAATAATCCTAGCCTGTTATCATGTCTTTTCGTTAGATTTCCAAATGCTTAACTGTGCTTTTGTTGTAGCTCTGTGTCCGAAACCAGAGGTTGAACATGGAAAGCTGTCTGGGGATCAGAATCAGTTTGTTGAATCTGAAAATGTCACCATCCAGTGTGACTCTGGCTATAGTGTGGTTGGTCCTGAAAGTATCATCTGCTTAGAGAACGGGACCTGGTACCCAGAGGTGCCCAAGTGTGAGTGGGTAAGTGGAACAATTCTAGGAGTTTTTGTGTTACCTAAAAATGGTGCCACCCCATAGCACTGTCCCAGCCAGCAAAGGCGAGATCTGACTGGCCAGGACTCAGTTCCGAGTCATTCACAAGAATGCTCTTGTTTTTTCTTGAAGTAGTCTGGTCCATTAGGGTGGCAAGTTTTCATACTCTCAATTGAGAACAGGACAAACCAAGCCCCTTAAGGACAGGAGGTTCTCAGAAAGCTGGGCATACTGACTTCCTAGTTTTCTATTCTAGACTATATAACACACTGTATTCCATTTCTGGGTGGTTAGCCAAAGGAGCCTCTGTCCCCACAGAGGTCTTCTGGGAAGCTGTCTCAGAACAGATCTATATCCTTTGGGAAGACTATGGTGGTGGACGAGGTGTTTGCTGGTTTTCCTGCTCACCCATCAGTCCTGGAGCTGGTCTTGGACCTGCTCCTGTAATCCTGCATTGTCATGACCTGGAGAGAAGCCTCTCAACCACACCCACTACCTATGTCTCTTTCAGGAGCTCCCTGAAGGCTGTGAGCAAGTTCTACCAGGCAGAAAACTCATGCAGTGTCTCCCAAGAGTGGAGGATGTGAAGATGGCTCTGGAGTTACATAAATTGACTTTGGAAATTGAACTCCTCAAACTACAGCTAGACAAGGCGAGGAAATCCTCTCCGGAGTCACCGCTGTGTTTTTTCCCAGGAGAAAAAGGTACCTTGGTACCTTCCATTCATTAGGGATCCCTTTAGTTTAGCAACTCTCCCATCTTTTTGGCACCAAAATTCATTGTAATAAATATCTAGAAAGGATAATTTGCTATTTTTTTTTTTTTGTTAGTGCTTTGAGATTATAGAATTATTGATCATTTTATGCCTCACTTTTTTGCTTTTTTGGATACAAAGTGCACTTTTTTTTCCATTAAAAAGTTACTTATTGAACACAATTTTGTCTTTGTGGTTATTAGCTCTTGGTGAAATGAGGTTGGTAAACAAACCCATGATATACAGTTTTAATGTTATTGTATGGTCTTGAACATGGACTTGAGTTCACATCAGTTTCATCAGGATCACTTTTATTTCATAGTTCCACATGCACAAATCACTCAGCTCCTCAGTTTTTAGGTGAAATATCAACATATTCCCAAAGCCTTTCCTATTTGAAGGGAGTTTTACCCTGTTCTAAACCTGTATGCACTTGGTCCACGACCCACTAACACCTCTGGACTTTTGTCTCACACGGAGGACATCTGTGTGTCTGACCCACTTAGTTCATCCTCAGAGAGCAAACTCTTAAGGACTGATGAATGTGAAGCCCACATGGCAGCCACCTATGTATTTTCAAGTCCTCTATCTGATGTGGTCCTCATTGTCATTAATAGAAAAGTAAAAAGCCTTGTCACACACCAAAAGGTCACAGGTTTGAATCCCGGTCAAGGGCACGTACCTGGGTTGCAGGTTCTATCCCCGGCCCGGCTGGGGTCATGTGGGGGGCAACTATTTGGTATGTCTCTCTCACATCGATGTTTCTCTCTCTCTCGCTCGCTCTCTCTCTCCCCACTCTTTCCCTCCCTTCCACTCTAACTAAAAATCAATGGAAAAATATTTCCGGTTGAGGGTTCACAAAAACAAATAAATGGATGAATGAATGAATGAATAAATGAATAAATAAATAAATAAATGAAAAACCTTGAGCAACTACCCCACACATGAGGAGAAACCCCATATGAGTCACTTTTATATCTCAGAGTATTTTAGAGGCTTTATTCCTTCAACTCACCACATTTTCCAACTTTGCTTCTGAAATCTCTCTCTCATTCATATCTCATACTCTTTGGTTGTCTCATCTCTCTTTTGTACATAGAACTCTATGAGCAGTATTGGCTTTTTTTCTTTGGTTTAATTACTCCAAATATATTGCAATGAGGCTACGGTGTATAGTATGGTTTCACTGAATTACAGATATCACAGAGGGGCTTGAACTGTTTGAGGAACCAGCTTAAATTGGAAGGTTTCTATTCAAGGTCTTAAAAGCCATTACCTATTCCTGCCACTAGGAATTCATTTTGGTTGATGTTTACATTGGGTTTCCCCTGAGACAAGTGTTTGTGGGTAACTAATTTCCTCTGTACCTGAGTGGAGTAGTACGACAAGGGAGGGAGGACAGCCTAAAAAGAGATCATTATTAGGAGGTCATTGCTGGTGCTATCAGAAGCTCAATTATGCCGACTGCCTTCTGAGAGCATGTAGAACATGACTGTGAGTTGTTTTTCCAAGGACAAGGATCTTGGTACTATCTACCAATTCTCTCTCCTCATTGGTAAAGGCTTGCTCTGGCAACATTAACTCTCAAGCACATCTAATCTATACTATATTCTAGCTAGGAAGGTTCCCAAGGACTGGGATCACCATTAGGAACAGAGACATGAGTAGCCAATGGCACTATGGGGCTTATTTACGGTAACCTCCAGGGCAGAGCACAGAGGGCCTCTTCTACAGTTGTTTTTTCTCTATGGCTCTCTGCCAATGTGTGGTTTTATTCTATCACTCTTTCTCTACTCAAATCTCTCATTTGTCTTTACCAGACTCCTACAAACATTTGCTTTAGTTGCCTTAACGTAACTCCCTTCATTTTTGAGAGTGAGCTATTTAGTTTTCCTTCCCCCACTGGGCTCTGTGCCTATTCTGGCATCTCTTGTTATCTGAATTCTCACAAGTAGAATATTTGTTAACACTGCCTACAAAACAACTAAAATTTACCAACAAGTCAACAAACCACTATAACAAATATTGGTTCTCCCCTTTTTGTTTGGGGTATGAGGATATAGCTTGAGCCACAGGGATGCCCTGAGACAGTCTGTGAATAGGGTTGCATCGCTGTCATCTGCTCTCATTCCTTAATGCCTCAGATATTATATGTACCATCTTCACATTATTCACTGAAAATATGATCTAAAAAAAAAAAAAAGGAAAAATACTGTTAAGAATGTGGGTAACCTGAGAAGGCTTAGAAAAGCTATATGAGAAGAATTTACAGGAGAGAAACTTATTCAACCTGGTGCTCATTGAAGATTTGAGAGAAGGGAGGAAAAGGAGCCTGGATATTTCATACCCAAAATTTAAAACACACAGAAAAATAATTACCATTGCCTTATGAAGGGGGAGTGGGATGATGAATCATTTCAAAAAAATTGATTTCCCATCATAGTCTTCTGTTAGTAGGAGCTGTGTAATTGTAAGCAAAGGAAACACAAGCAGATGCCCATTTTGTTTATGTCTGTAGCTACTTCCAACATTAGTAGGATCTGGAAACAAAAACATTGACCAGTTCCTTGGGCTTAGATGTGGATTGATGTCATGTAATTGGTAATTCACTCACTGGCTCTCACCAATTCTCACTCACCTTCTTTCATCAGCAAGAGTGTCTATAACCCTCCGTCTGCCTTCCTTGCCAACCAACCTCACCTAGAAAACTCTTCATTTGTTAAGTAATAATTTAAAAAACATGACTTTGTTCATTTTATTTTGTTATATACTAGTTGAATTACTTTTCTATTACATTATCATTTACTGTCACATTATTTTATTGTTTTTTAAGTTATAGTACATGCTTCCTCTAGAATAGATTAAAACCTAATTTGTATTTGATACTGTGTAGTATTATTGCATAGTGTGTGCAATTATACTTACTAATGAGTTAGCTGACTGTTAGATAATTATATAGTCGATATTTTAAATGCATTATATAGGTAGAAATCCTTGGTAGATTTTTGTAGCTGTGTTTAAGAATGATTTACTGATATAGAGAAATTGGTTTGGATATTGGAGTGGGTTGGGAAAGTGAAAAAGCTAAGTATGTTTATATTTTCATGTTATTAATGTGCTCAGATAAATAGTTATCAATCTCAAGCTTCATTCTGTTAGTTGTACAGAAGAAATAGTTGAGGCTTTCACAAAATAGAGGCAGACTCCGAGAGAGCAGGCTGGCAGCTGTCCAGGGTGGGGTGAGGAACCTGGGTTGGGGGTGTAGAGGGATTGAGCAAAAAAAAAAAAAAGGAGAGAGAAAGAAAACTCACAGACACAGACAACAGTGTGGTGATCACTGGTGAGGGTGTTGTGGAGGGGGAGGAGAAGGAGGGTATAGAGGAGATAAATGGTAATGGCTGGAGACTTGACTTGGGTTGGTGAACACAGTACAGTGCCAAGATGATGTGTTGTAGAATTGTGCACCTGAAACCTAAGCAATTTTGTCAACCAGTGTCACCCAATAAATTCAATAGAAAAGAAATAGTTGAGGCTTTTATGATTTGATTTTATTTTTGGTTAATCCTCACCTGAGGATATTTTTCCACTAATTTTTAAAAAGTGTGGAAGAGAGGGAGGGAGGGAGGGAGAGAGAGAGAGACAAACATCAGTAAGAGAGACACATCCATCAGTTGCCTCCTGTGTGACCCCGACCAGGGCCCCGGACCAGGGCTGGGGATGGAACCTGCAACCCAGGTACATGCCCTTGACCTTCACACTGATATGAATTGTTCCTCCAATTTTTATTCTTTTTTAAAATTCCCTTTAAAAATTATCTGAAATAATACAAATATATACAAATAAATATTAAAATAACAATAGCTCAAGTCCATTACATTTTTTTAACTTACATTTTAAATTTAAACTTCATAATCTAAATTTTAATTTTTGTATCTAATTGTATTTATTATAAACCACATTACAAGTGCAACTATTTCTTGACCTACAACTTCATCTTTAAAATTAATTTTAAAAATATATAAATATTTAACAAATTAGTGTACTAACCAGCCCCACGCAATTCCTTTTTCCTACTCCCAGAGAACCATTGTCACCTCTTGTATTTATTTTCTCCCTGGTATTTATCACCATATTTTTAGGTAATATATTTTTTATTTTTTAAATAAATCATCCATTTATCTATAAATCACAAAGATTTAATCATCTTCTAATTTAATCATCTGCCTTTTCTCCTTTCTTCCAAAATAATTATTGCACGATTTTAGTTCCATTAATAACTTTTGGATGTTATGACTGCACTAAATCAAGTAGTATTCTGTGAGCATGTTTCCTTTCTTTACAAACTTGCTTTTGTTTTGTTCTGGTGTGATAGTGCCCTTGTTAGTGATGTTTGCTGGCTTGCTTAGTTTTCCATTTCCAATGTTCTAATTTCTTAAATGCTCTAATAAAGTTTTCACTCTATCAAATTTTTTCAGTGTCTGGAGACACCAAATGCTTATCAACTTTTTCCTCGTTCTCATGGACTTTTCTCCAAAATTCCCTCGGCTTTATATTCTAACCCTTTTGTTGAATTTTTAAAATTTCTTTTAAGAACACTTAATAACATTATCAAAAGATTTTTTCATTTCTTTCTTTTAAAAAATTTATCCTGACCTTTTTACTTAGATTCATTCTTGTCTCCATGAAGCTATTTGTAGTAGAGACATATTATTTACCCCCCCCCCCCCGGCAAACCTATGCTAGTAATCATTGGTTAGTTGTTCTTTTGCAACTCCAAAAATGTGGGTTCAACTGCTTGCCACAACAAAAGCCAAACTCATGAGACAGGTGCTGATGCAAAAGGAAAGAGGTTTATTCAGGTACCATGCAACCTGGGAAGATAGTGGAATCCCATCTCAAAGATCATTTTCCTTTCCTGCTCAAGTCCAAGGTTCTTATAGGTATAGAGAGAGGAGGACTTTTTCTCTATTTATTATTTTGCTAGCTTTTGGCACCCTTTGGTCCTGTCCATTCATCTTCCTAGCTTTTGGCATGCCTAGTGTAAGAGCCTCCCCCGATGCCATCTTGGTCAATGGAGGAGACTCTGTGGCACTCTGACTGTCTACACTTTTATAAAAATGGGGCCTGAATAATCTTATTT